GGGAGGATGGAAAGGAGAAAGGAAGGAAGGGAGGAGAAAGAGAGGAAAGAAGGAAGGAGGAGGGAACGGAGGGAGGGAGGGAGGGAGAAAAGGAAGATACTCTCTAGACTGATACAAACCAATGTAACTTTGTGGAATTGTGGGAATGTAGCCTTGCTGCCTGATAGGAAAATCACTATGTAGCTATGAACAGGAAATGAAGTTAGTGTGATAAGGAACTGAACTTTTCATTTTATTATTGGGAGAGGAAATACTTGCCATGAGCACATGTGGTCAGAGGACAATCTTGTGGGGTCCAGTTCTCTCCTTCCACCATGTGGGTCCCAGGGATTGAACTCAGGTTGCCAGGCTTGTGGGGATAGTACTTTTACCCACTAAGTCAACTCACCAGCCTTGGACTTTTCATTTTAACTGATTGAAATATAGCCAGAGAAGGTTAGTAGCTGCTGTAATGACTGTAGCACCTATGACTTGTTTATCTCCTTTGCTGGTATTTTCCTTACCATTTGTCACTATATAGTATATATGGTACTATATAATTCACTTATAATTAACCTCTGTGTCCTGTTTATGGTTTGCTTCTCCTTCTAGAAGGTAAGTTACATGAGGAAAATGGTCTTTGTTTAGTTCACAGCCAAATTCTCTGCAGCTAGCACAGCTTCTGGCACATAGTCTATACTTAAAGAAGTATTGGTCAAGTGAAAGAACGGAGATGCAACAGAACCTGTAAGTTCTATGCAGGCCTGTATCTGCTCTCTGTTAGCTGGCTCTGAAGCTCATCTCCCACCATGCTGTTCTTGTGTTCATCCATTTCTTTGCAGTGATGTGGCCCTCCCTCTACACCTTCGAGTTCCTCTATAGAGACTCTCCACCTGAACTGCAGCACACTATTCCAGCCTCTTGAGCATGGCTCATCAGAGACTCTTACAGCCAGCCTTGGGTCTGTGAGTTTCTTACCTATAACTCAGACAACAAATGGCCTCAAGGCAGGGGCAGCCTAGATTCCTGCCAGCTTCTGTTTCTCTGTGCTGCTTCCAGAGACAGCATAGCACTTCAGAGCAGCTCTCAGTTGCAGACCATGGTAACAAAGAAGACCTCAACCATGAACCCCGTGTGCTAGGTTATCGGACAAATACTGGGTGACAAGGACATTGTGCACACTCAAAACATACACAACCATGCCCTGCTCCCCTGTGATGGTTATGTGGCTATTACTGATCTGAGAATCCATTCCAACACATGTACACTTGTGGCAGGAGGCCTCCAAAGATGGCGCGGACCCAGAGCCCTGGAATTCAGCGAGAATTCACTTCGCTTCTTGTTCCACAAATAGCCTGCAGCACCTCGCCTAGTGCTTGCTTCTACCCAACTCCCAGGGTCTGTGTGTTGACTCCGCACCTCTTACCCCTGCTAATCGGCAGGGGACCCGATCCAGGTCAGGGTCTTCACAGCTGGCCTGAGGAGAACCCACAACATATACCAAATGTCCTGCAAAAAGAAAACCAAGGGCCAGGGAGAGGGGCAGCAAGAGAGCTCAAGGAAAGGCTAGTTGTGACTACTGTTATGATCAATAGATGTTTCCATTTTAAGAGCCAGATGCCCAGTTTCCTGTTGTAAACTCACATGGGCTGTGGAAGAAGGGAGATTAGAATAGTTATTGAAAGCTTTATGTTTTCTCTTTGTTTATTAATTCAATGACTCAGATTTAATTTAGAGCTTTGTATAACAGCCAGGAGCATCCTGCTTGCATAAATGAGGAAGCATGTACCCACCCTTTACAATACCTGGCATTTAGAAGACCCTTGGCCAACTGGCTAATGATTTGATGAGAAGTAGTAGAGATTCCTGTCCACTCATAATGCCTGTCACAGTAAGTCTTTACAAGCTTGCTATACACTGAAATAGACTGCCAAACTGAAAGTGATACAGAGGTAGTTCTCATGGAAGGTGAAGCTTTGTTTCACTAGGCTACAGAGACTGTGCACACAAAGATGGAAAAGCCGGTCTCCTTTTTGAGCACAATTTACCTTCCGTTAAACAGCAACATGATACACTGCACGATTGAGTTTCAGTTTGAGTTTCGTTCAACTTTTCTTCTACTATCTAGTAAAACAGCACAATTTCCCTTCTAGAGAAAAAGGGCAACAGTTCAGCAAGTAACAAGTTGCCAGCATTTCCGCCTTTTTTCTCTGTAACAGAACAGTTTTGTGCCAGGTGACAAGGCAACCATCCCCAAGGAGCTGAATCACAGTGGAGGTCAATCTTTTAAGGTGATTCTGTTTTCACACTCCTTTGGAGTTAGGATTGGCCATAGGATTGTTCTAGTCACTGGGCACTTGGCAAATATCTCCCAGGGCTTCTGGCAAAGACTGTGCTTTCAGGTGCAGGAAGAGCACTTGTGCTTTTCTCCCTCACCACATCCTGCCTTTGGCTGTGGACATAACGCCTCAAGCCGCAGCAGCTGTCTTACAACCATGAATAACAGTAGAATGCCAGTTCACTGAGGACACCCAGACAGATGGGGTCTGGATGGCTTCCCTGAGCTGCTGATCCAATCCTCTCCTTCTCCTTCTCTCTCTCTATTTCTACGTGAGGGTGCCACTGTGTAGCGCAGGATGTCCTTGAACTCACCACTTTCCTGCCTCCATGTCTGTAGTGCTGAGATGACAGCTGTGTACTACCATGCCCAAATTGACTTGGAATTCTTGCTTTGCAAAGAAAGAATATTCTTCCAGTTTAAGCCAATATCAGCTGAGTTTTATGTGCAGCCAGAGCATTTCCAGCTGATACAAATATCTTTAATTACTGGCTCCATGACTGCCCATATCTGAATTTAACTGTTTCTAATATTTCCCATATTTGCATTATCTCTGTATATTTGATTTTACTTTCTTCTTCTTCTTCTTGTTGGGTGTGTACATGCTTCTGTGTGTGTGTGTGTGTGTGTGTGTGTGTGTGTGAGAGAGAGAGAGAGAGATGTGGAGGGATCATGTGCATGCCACAGTGCCTGTGTGGAGACCAGAGGACAATTTTTTTGTCAGTTCTTTCTTTCTACCTTAATGAAGGTTCCAGGAAAGGACAAGCACTTTTACCTGCAGAACCATCTCACTGCTGTCCCTATATTTATATTTTCAGTGAGGAGATTAGGTTGTAGCTATTATAATACTTTATTCCCTCAACGTTCATCTCCTAAAAAGAACATTTTCCTTCATAACCACAATGCTCTTATCTCTCCCCAAAATATTACTCATTCTTTGATAACATCTAAGAATTTGTCCATATTAAGTTTCCTCTATTGTGTTCTTGTGGTTAGAGAAATTTGTCACTTAAATGAGACAAATGGGACTTGAGAATTTTTCATTTTTTTCTTGTTCTTTTAATTAAACAAGAAAATTCACTAGTCTTTCCTCTTGTGATAATAAAGTTTTACTTTCCAGTTCGAGGTGACTGCTGAGCCCAATGGAGTCCCTTTGACAGTTTGAATAAAGCTTTGGAGTTAAGGCTGTCATGAGTCACCTGAGGGTCTCATCCACATGCCTTCCAAAAATAATGTGAGAGCTCCTACCCAGAAAGGTGTGTGGGATGCA